AAAAATATTTCTCCTTCACTTTTCATGGCATCACCTTCCATTTGCCTTCTGTTTATTCATAACACAGCTACAGTTTAAATAGACAATAGAAGCTATGTTATTGCATAATTTAAAATCAGATACGTTGTGTTTCTCAAATCTGATAAAGCAAAGCAGACATCTCTTAAAGCGCTCTGTGGCTTGAAATGCAAGGTTACCTTCCTGGAGTCAGACACTAGTTTTGCTTTCCTTATCAGGTCTCACACTTCAGAAGTCCCATTTCACTCTTAGCAGGTGCCACTGTAAAAATATTTAACAACTCCCCTACACCCCTTTTTCAAAATGTTTTACTAATGGCGTTGGTGTTCTGCTTTCCTCAAATTAAGTCTAATTACTTCCTCCTTCCACAGTAGGGTTTTCCCCAACTGATTTTGAAATAGTTTCTCTTCTATATCACTTTCCTTTAGAGGAAGAAAGGCACTCTTTCATAGCACCAGGTCTCCCTGGTCTCTCTGTGAACACTCATTTAACACATGGCAAGGACATTATATCTAGACTACCTTTTGCATGGTAAGCTAAAGGTCTGCTGCTGGAGTGGCTGAGAGAAACACACACAGAGTTGGGCCTCTTCCACCTCTTTTACTGAAGAAAAGTATCATAACTTTAACTGAAGGGGCAACTGACACTGAATATGCAAACCACAAGGCTATCCTACTCTTTAATGTGGCAAGAATCTCATTATTTTGTAGAAATTGGTACACGCTCACCCTCAGATGCACTCTTCAGAAATTCAGCAGCAACTCAAAGCTGGGAAGTGACAGTTTAAAATTTAGCAGAGTAAAAAAAACTAATTCAAGGCCTTCTTCAATCATCTCACCTTGAGCAGCTCTGTCCCCTTCCTGTGAATGCTCCAAGTGTTCCAGTGCATGTCCAAAAAAATATGAAAATCTGTACTTAACATTTTAGTAGACCTTCAATGACAGATGATGTGTTAATGTTCAGGATTAAGTGACTGCATAATAACCAGTGACAAATTTACAAGCCTTTGGGAATTTCATGATTGAGAAAGAATGATGTCCAGGATTAATGGCAGTTTGATCTGAATTGTGAGGATCTAAATGTTAAAGCACCAAGCACTTAGGCACCTTAGACAGGCAGCCTTTCTTGTGGGGGAACTAGCCCCCAAAGCATTCTGCAAGGGAGCATTCCACATCATGTCATGTTCATCTGAAATTATCTAATCAATTTAGCAGCAAAGAACATCTAACTTATAAATATACATCTTATATAAAGGCAAAAGAAGTTTGAGCATAAAAGGGATGCAATGTTTCTAAACTGAGTATCACATATCATCACCTGTTGCTTGAGCTCTCTAACTCTTTTTTGTTGCAAGTCTGTAGCATGTCCTTAATTCAAACTGCTCCAGACAGGAGCTTATTAAACCTACTTATCTGTTAATGGAACTACAAACATCACACAAGTCTTTAGAGCAAGGTATCCAAAACAAGATAAGTAGGATTAAAACATACCTTTTCATGCTACAAGGCTATTTGTTCCCCAGAATTATTTTCCAACTTGTCTTGATTGTTACGAATATGGAAAGGCAAAGGAAAAACGAAACCAGTGTTCAGAAAGCAACATTGTAAAACAGTGTTCCAATTTCTGAGATAGAATCATAGAATGGTTTGGGTTGGAAAGGACCTTAAAATCATCTAGTTCCAACCCCTCTGCCACGAGCAGGGACACCTCGCACTAAACCATGTCACCCAAGGCTCTGTCCAACATGGCCTTGAACACCTCCAGGGTTAGAGCATTCACAACTTCCTTGGACAACCCATTCCAGTGCCTCACCACCCTCACTGTGAAGAACTTCTTCCTTATATCTAACCTAAACTTCCCCTGTTTAAGTTTAAAGCCATTACCCCCTGTCCTACCACTACAGTCCCTAATGAAGAGTCCTCCCAACATCCTTATAGGCCCCCTTCAGATACTGGAAGGCTGCTCTGAGGTCTCCACGCAGCCTTCTCTTCTCCAGGCTGAACAGCCCCAACTTTCTCAGCCTGTCTTCATACGGGAGGTGCTCCAGTCCTCTTATCATCCTCGTGGCCCTCCTCTGCACTTGCTCCAACAGCTCCATGTCCTTTTTATGTTGAGGACACCAGAACTGTACACAATACTCCAAGTGAGGTCTCACAAGAGCAGAGTAGAGGGGCAGGATCACCTCCTTTGACCTGCTGGTCATGCTTCTTTTGATGCAGCCCAGGATACGGCTGGCTTTCTGGGCTGCAAGCGCACACTGCCAGCTCATGTCAAGCTTCTCATCAACCAACACCCCTCAGATGTGAAATAATTTATGAGATAATACACCATAAAGCATTTTCCACATGTAATAGTTTATTCATGCCAGAGGGCAGATCCAGTTGTAACTAATCAGTGGAAAAGCTTAAAGCAGTAGCTGCGGAGAGAATTCAAACAGCGACTGTAATTAAAGAAAAAACAAACAAAGCACCACCAACAACCAGGAAAGTGCTTCCCATGAAAACAACAACAGTAATTTCCATTTTTAATTGCCTTCTATGATGATCACAAGTGTCTTTACAACAGAACAAAGGACAGCAATTAGCATTTCCCAATGGTTAAAAAAAAAAACCCGCAAAAAGTAACAAACAAAAGCACTGAGTAGGAAATTTGTCAGATAAAAGGTTAAACAGAAGCAGCCTGACCTGAAGCGCCCACACCTAGCTAGAAGCAGTATCTGTTCTCAGAAACATACAAACTGGAGGTGGTTTCACCAAACCTATGAACTTTAAAGCCAAGCCACAGCAATTGAAGTTACGATGGTGGTAACCCACTAACTACTGAGAATTGTTAGACTCAACCTTCAACAGCTGCTTAGCTTTATGCAAGTTTTGTTCTTTCAGTTTATAAGCAGGTTTAAGCTCAAACTGAAGGTGTTACTCAAACCAAGTGTCCACATAGGGGCGGACACTCCAATTAGCTTCAAATCAGTCTTAACCTAAAGAAGAACTATAGCTAATTCAGCTTTTAACATTATCAAAGTAATGAAGAATTCCTCTTTGGCTGGAAAAGACAACTATGCCAGCCAACTCAAATACACCCTGTATTTAGTCAAACCTGTCCAAATGCCTTTGTACTGCAAAGCAACTGCACATAAAGCTGGTCAGTACAAATGACCACCTTACCAGTTATTGCATCCTCTTCGGATGAAAAACCTTGTATAAGTATTCCTACTATGACATTGTTGCGGGGTGGAGGGTGATGACCTGCAGCACAAGATCAGCAGAGACATGGAAGGGAGCTAAAACCAGCTGCTAAATGATTGTAGGTCCTTAGAGGCTTCAGGAATGAGGGGCTTGACATCAAGCATTTTGTTTACTGCTAACACCAGATGGGGGTGGGTGGGGGGGTGGGAACAGAGGAGGGAGGAAGTGAAACAGTAAGCCCATACGACAAAGTTTTAATTTAATTTCTGCTAGCATATCACTGGTACGCAGTTCAGGCTATGCCTGGTACAAATAAATCAATACTATTTGCCTTTAGTGTTCTGTGAATAAATCACTCTAGAAAATACCCTGACCTTGCATCATCAATTTCTGTTTTATGGGAAGTGAGCTGCTGTCCTTAGGCAATGGCAAAAGTATGAAAGGTTGTAGAACATCCCAAGAGGAAATGAAAGTGCCTGAGTAACAATGGACAAAACATTAAAAACTTGTCCTGACTTGATAAACTTGAAATAACATAGCCCTAACCCAAAAAGAATAATTTTTTTTCCTAGAACTTTGGGATGTTCAGATCCGTCTTGTCTTTAGGTTCAGAATATGAAAGTTCTCAAGGATCCAAATCAGCAAACTGTTTCTTCCCATAATAAAAGACTCTGGTATTTGAACCATGTAATAGGTAACTCTTGTCATCTCACTTGGTCAGGAAATGACACACATACACAAAAAGCTCTCAGAGATGTAGCAATATGCAAACTCCCTGCTAGTTCTAGCCAAACTCTGAGAAGTTTAATGTAGTAAAATGGAGGTACAAAACACACACCACATATAATAAAGTGCCAATCACAGCAACATGTCTGTATCTAAGAGACATTTCCACAAAAATGTGACCTCTACTCAGTAGCTGTCACAGAGCCAACTAAGTTGGGGCAGGAGTTATTAGGAAAGAATAAATCTGTAATTTCCCACACTTTGCAAACTGCTTTTGGGGTTCCCATACCTCATCTAAGAAGGATGTTGAAATGCAGATGACCAAGAGAACCACCACAAGAACCATCTACAGGCACAAAACAATGTCAGTATGGGGAACATTTATAAAGGTGAGGATTCTGTCGGAACTGAAGGGGCAGTACTGGACCTGTACTACAGTGACAATAGGACATGATGTTCTCCATCTGCTCCAGTACAAGAAATAGAAGGCATCAAATACTATTACAAGAACCAAGTTCAAGTCAAACAAAAGCAGGTACTTCTTCGCACAGGCAAGGCTGGGCTGTGAAACTCCCAAGTAAAGGATGCTGTAGATGCTAGCAGTATACTTGAGTTCAGAAAACAACTGGACAAATTCATGGAAGAAAAGTCCATCAACAGCTGCCAAAAAAAAGACCAAAAACAAACCACCCCAGCAAACACACAAAAAAACACCCCACAAAGAAAACACAGAAACCAACTATTCTGACTCTGATGTAGGAGCCTCTAAGTCATAAAGTTGCTTAGGAAACTATTAGGGGATAACACTGCTGTCTGTTTAAGAACTGTTAAATTCTTCCCCAGGTTTTTCCCCAAATGAAGGCTGCTGTCAATTCAAGACAGTTACCTAGAAAGACCTTGAACTGTACTGTATCCATTCTTGTGCAGGCATCTTTCTTTTTAGATAACAGAACCCTTCTAAACGAGAGCATCATTTTCAATGCAATTACCCATGCATTAATTTCATAATGCTTCACTCACCTCCCCTCTCTTGCCTCCCCTCTCTCTCTTTTCAGATTAAAGAATATCCAGATGGGGTGCAGGTGCTGCAAAATGATACAAAGGTACAATAGAACAATATTTGCTTAGACCCAATAAAAGAAATGCATTAAAACATGTATCTGTGCTTAAATTAAGCCTATTTACAAAGTTGGGGTTTCCCCCAGGTTTACAGTATCTCTAAAGTCATGCCAGAGCACAGGCATACTGATGTCCTGCAAATGTCCTTTTGTTTTACTGTAATTGAGGCCCATTTCCTATCATTCCTATCCCAGAGAAAAGCTGTGTGGCATTGAAAATTCATCTTTAGCAAAGCTTTTTCTCATTTAGGTAGCATGAGCTCCCCTCACTTCAGGAGAACAAGAAGCACAGACTTTGTCAGATCCTTCTTTTCTCCTGAGCAATGAAAATGAAATACAGATCCTTACTTCCATCATAGCTTTTAAATGTAGTTAGTTGTTACTTCTTCCCTTGGCCACACCTCTGTGGGAAAAGTGAAGTGGGAAAGAAAACTCGTGCCATGTGAGACAAAGAAAAGAGAGAGGCTCTGGAAGAAGTAAGTCAAGGAAAATATGGAGCAAGAGGAAAAATTAAGTAAGAAAGGAAAGAAAAAGGGGCCAAAAAAAAAAAAAAAAAAAAAAAATGTCAAAAAGGTAAGACTTGAAAACAAGACCACCAGGGAAAAAATGGCACTTATTTTAGCAACAACATGAGGACATATCCATAACTACTACTCATTAGCTGATCAATGAATCAACAACACCCCCCTCAAGAAAAAAAAAATAAAGCTGGAAACATGCAACAATCAGCTCATAGTTCTCAGTTATCATCCTCACGCTCCTGGTGAATCTCACTGTGGGGGTTAGTTATGGTCAGACCCAGGACACAGCAGCCTACAGCACAGTTCAGTTTCCATTTGGTTTAGTTCATGCTCAGGACCCCAGGTAAAGTTTAGTGACACCAGTTATTCGAGGTCTTCAACTTAAAAATTAAGCTTAATCCTTTTTCTAATCATATTAATTAACAGCATAATTAACATTTCCTTTGCAAATTTTTCTTCCTCCAGCTATATTTTTGATCCAGAAGAAGTACAATCGCCTGGACGCATTCATGAAGTAAGCAGCTATAAACACAATGAGCAAGGCAGCAATAAATCCAAAGAGAACAGTGAAATTCAAGAACATAAAAACGAACTCCAGAAGGATGAGCTAAACAGAACAGAAAATAAAAGTCAGATAAATAACAGAAAAGAAACTCTCTGGAACCATGGAGACAATGATTTTCAAGAGGATGGTCTTGTGAATTGTGTTGCAAAGCTTGATGTTGCAGTCAACGGTGGCAGCTCCTGTGCTGGAGTGCACTCCATGCTCAACCCCAACACAAACCCAGCGAAAGAAGCCAGTGAACAGGGAACCTCCAGCCAGTCAGAGGTTTCTTCAGCCAGCAACAGAGACTTTTACACTAAAACAAATAGGTCCGGTCAAGAACTTGACCTAGAGGCAGCCAGGCAGAGGAAGGCAACCTGCAATGAGCCAAACAGTATTCAAGATGGTAACTCCCAATCTGCAGAAGACATCATCTTTCTTAAAGGAAGTGCAATACTGGAGACACAAAACAATGCCACACAACTGCCAGATACTGATTACCTCCAAAATGGCAATCAAAACAGGAACTATGTTGAAAAAGACAGCTTTTCAGTCAATTCTGCACACTCAGACCAAAACACTGGGCCTTCAGCAATGCAGGACCAGGATCTTTGTGTAACCCCACCTCCACCTATGAAGGAGAGCAGTATTGGACCTTTTAAAACTGACTCCACAAGTTTGAGTGAGAGCATTATGGCTGGTATCACTGCTGTGGCTGTTTCTAAAGTAGCACAGGCATCCACACACCCCAAAGGTAAAGACATCAGTGGAGAAATAGAGGAGGAAGATGCAGAAGTTGCAGCAGCTCTGGCTGCACTGGAAGCTGCAACTGCAGGGGAAGACCTGGATGATGATGATGAATACTAGATTAAGGTTTATTTCTCATACACTGGGTAAGATCCAGATTTTATTTCTGGATCTATGTATCACATGTATAGCACATGTGGACAGCTGTTACGAACATGTTAGCCCAAAAAAAAGAAAGAAAAAAAAAAGCCAACCAAAAACCCAACCCAAACCTGACCCAGATTTCCATGATCTATTGATGTATGAAATAGAGAAGGCAGCTTAGCTTCCACTTCATTTTGTTTACAGTTCCAGTCCAGATTAAGCCTAAATCTGTGCACATACAGCTGGCATTACAATAACCTCACCTCTTCCCTTACACCTTCCCTGGACTTAGTTAGATACCCCAAATGACCTGCTTCAGTTCACTAAGATAGCAGAAGCCTAGCCAAATCCAAGAGAATGGGTAACTTCGTGTTGATTTAATGAGCTGAAGTAGCTCACATAAAAACTGCACACACACTACCAGTGGTGCTGGAGAGGGATCAAATCTCAGCCTTAACAGTTTGGATAGATTAAAACTGTGGTAAAACTACAGCCTGAGACTTCTCAATTCTGCTAATTTTTCCAGGCACACATCACGTGCCTTAACAATACAGCTTGCAAACAGGTTGTGTCTCATAAACATCCCCAGCAAGATGTGTTTTGTTTATATACAAACAGTGTGGACCCCTCCCTGGCTCTGCTGTAGTCCTTAAAATTTAAGAGCAGAAAAGGATTGAACTTCCAAGCTGAATTAAGCGTAAGACCTGAAAATACCAGCTGCGTTCCTGGAGCATTTACCCTCCCTCTGATGTCAGACTAGTACACTGACCTTTCTTGTGAGGGGGGAGGAAAAAAGAGGTAGAGACCAATTTGGTCCTGACAATTCATCAAAAGTTCGATCTTAATGGTTCGAAGTGCTCAACATTTTATACTGAAATGTGGTTTCCGAGTTTCTGTTATAAATTCTGAATAAATTGGTTTTAATCACATAAAAAAATTATCTGGCAACTTTTGTGCTTTATGCATTTTCTGTTTATATATCAGTTACATAAAAGAAGTAATATAACATATAGCTCTCACTAGATACATGGAAAGCACCAACTGTGTATTTGCCAACAGTATATGCTGAATTCTAGTCAACCATTAACACATGCAAAGATCAAAATATTAGAGGTGGGGTTTAAGTAATGTATAGATATTGAAATTATTTCTGTTTACGTGCAGATTCTGTTTAAACTGATCAAATAAAGATTTCAGTTTCTCAAAACATTAATGATACCCCTAGAAGCAATTAAAAAAATTAATTAAAAGTCAGCTTCAAGAGAACTATATTCAGCTACAGATGAAAGTCACCACAATGTATCTGTAGAATAAAAAAGCTTCATATATTTGTAAAGTATTGTAGTACTGTTGATTTCTCTATCACTTTCCTCTTTTAAAAGGCCATTCTAAGCCTGAGTCACACAAGTTTTATGAGCACATTTGTGTATCAAAAATTACTATAATATTGAATGACAGTAAAAGACCACTTGCACATTGCATATTCTTTGTCATGGTTATGACAACACGTGGTATATGTCCGCTTCTATGTTGTTAGGGCTCTGAGGGCATCACCAGGCCTGGCTGTTCCTGTCTACTGGCCCAGGACCCCATATCAGCAGCCCCTGGGAAGCATCCTACCCTGCCCCAGCTCCCCACAGGCCAGCCCAGGCTGGCCATGGGCCCTGCTGAGCAGGGGCTACCTGCAGGCTGACAGCCTGGCCAAGCCTCAGGCTGGCCCCACTGGAGATGCCTTATGCCCAGGGCTGGGTTGCCCCAGTGCCCCCCCAAGTGCCCTGCTCCCTGCTGGGGTGGTGAGACAGGCCTGACTGTGAGGTCCAGCCCTGTTGCTCCTGGGGGAGCCTCCACTACTCCCCACTTCCCAGCCCCAGGGACCCGCCACCCCCTGCTGCACCATGATATGAACCATGAGAAAGGATTTAAGCAAAAAAAAACATAAAAGAAATGCAACAAACACCCCAGGAAACATACCGAATTTTTCAGTATCAACTGAACTACAACCTGAACTTTGAGTGCAAATCACAGCAAGTTTTCATCTTGCTCCCCAAGAATTAAAACACGCTAGAGGAGAGCACCTGGTCAAATCCAAATCACATCTGGACACTTCAAACCAGGCATCTCTTCTACAGGCAATTGTGGCTCACAAATGTGGACCACCAGACTTAAATCCTCCGCAAGAGATCAACTGGGTCATAAACACGGCACTTCTTGCAGCCCAAGTTTTCATTGTCTTAAATACAAGAAAGGCAAACCAGTGTAAAGCAAGTATATTCACTGTGCCAGAAATAACTGGTCAATGCTTCACTTAACCAAAGACATATACATACCTCGAATCTGCAGGATATGGAAAGCTTCCATGAAATAAACCTATGAGGCATCACCAGCATTCAGGTCTCTCTTGCCTGCTATCTACAAGTGCCCTGTGCAGGGTTTGGTTATTTTTTAACTTCTCAACATATACATACATACGTACATATATATATATAGATGGGGTTTAAATTTATGTATGTGTCTATATCCCTTCAAGTTAAGGTTACACTACAATGTCACAGAATCGTGTCAAGAATGAATTCTCAGATATTTCTGAGACTGCAGTACACTTTTCACAATAAATGTGAAAGAATCAATTATTTCAGAAAGAATTTTTAAATACCAAAAATCAGCTTTTAAATAATTATGTGAGAACCAGATATTACCCAGTGTCCTCAGATGATCCAAAGAAACACAGACACTGCTAGCTTGAACACTCATTTTGCTCAGAAAATTGTGAGAGTAAAATTTAGTATCTTGAGAAAACAGAGAAGGTCACAAGGAAAAGTCACAGGAATCAAAAGTAAATTGCGTATTTTAAGACTTCTCTCAAAAACTACACAGTTTAAGATACCTCTTCACCACAATTACCCTAACTTCAGATACCAATCAAATGCATTTCCTATATTCAGAGGGCTCGTTTATGAAGTAGAGTTTAAATTCCTTCAATACAAAAGGAATTAACCAGAGTTGGCTGGCCAATATTTCTCTATTTGATGTAATTCTATATAGGTGAGTGTGAAGACATACACTGCACTAAATAACAGGCAACAGGATGGGAAACTATTATAAGAGCTGGTATTTCTATGAAAGATTTTGCATCTTGGCAGCTCATATTTTACTCATTATTCTCCAAAACTAGAAACACAGCTTAAAGGGAAATAGTAAATTTTCCATATATAAGCAAAGAGACATTGAGTAAGCTTAGCAACTTCTCATTTAACAGTGGGTCACCATCAGATTATGAAAAATATTTCAGATCACTGTAGGGATTTCAGATATGACAACAGGGGTGGAAGACAGCACAGTCCACCCAACTCAAGGAAGTTAATTATTTCCTAGAGAAAACATTATGGGGGACATTTGTTTACAGAGCAACAGTAGAACCTGAAATTTGATCCTGCGGAATTCTTCAGTTCAGTGAAGAAAACCCAGATAAGAAAGCAGGAACCTGGAAATAGATAAATCCCATACAGATTTTTCTTTTCTTCCTTTTAAAGAACAAAGACAATTTGCCTCAGCAAGTGTTGCTATGGAGACTTCCCATTAAAAATTAAAATCCAGAAATAGAAAGTCTATTATTTTCTAAAATACTCTAGACTTGATTGCTTTAAAGTAATCTAGAAATGCTATTTTTATCATTTAAATGATGAAACACGAAACACTGACTTATAAAAAAACCCCTTGACCTTACACTGCATTTGTAGTTTCAGTTTCCTAAACGTGATTTAATTTTCCAGATTAATTCTTGCCAATGTATCACATCTGCTAAGTGAGAATAGAATATCTCAACATTTAAGGCCAGTGTATGTGGTATTTCATATATTTATCCAAATGCCTACATTGCACGTTAATTACACTGAAACAATGACTCCTAATAGATTATCTTTAATTGTGATCTCTCCTTGCATGTAGATGGAAATTGGTATCCATCTAAATTGCACAACAGCATCACTTCAAAATTAAACATATTAGAACCTCTTTAACACGCTGAATGCACAAGCAAGTAAATTTATCAAAGTCATTCTACATTAAAAACCAATTTAAAAGAAGTTCCATCAACAGAATTGCTTCAGACATTGTGTCTTTCTAGGTTTTAGAACACCTGTTTAATAGTAATTGTTAGATCAGATAAAGGCCCTTTCATTGGTCTTTCCAACACAAACAGCCCTTGGCAAAGACTTTTTTTTCCCCTTACCATCTTGAAATCAAAGCAGAAACTCCTCAGCTCCTTCCCTGGCCAGGTTTTCCAAATTTTGTGCATTTAGAGACACAGCTAGAGACCTCAGTCTCAGGACTCCCTTCTCCATTAACAATTTCAATTGACTTCTCAGGAAGGTTTGTTTTTAAACTTTCCTTTATTTTGAACCTTCACAAGCATTTTCTAAACTTCAGATCAGGCAATCCTGGAATTGAACTAGTTGGATAAACACGGAACAGGAAATACTGTCCACACCCACAAATAACAGCACTTCTGTAAATTTTGTCCTGCCTGCTTTGAGACTTTTTCCATTTTAAACCATGAGCTGTTGACATTCTGGATGAAGCTAAATGTGCATCCTGTATTCTATAAGAAATTGAAGTAGATTGTAGCAATTTTATGCCTTAATATAGTCATGACTTTAAAATTTATAGTTAAATAAAATTTTAACGTTGTTAACATGGTTTAATTCAATTTCATGACGGAACTTTACTAGACAGCTTTACTCCCCACCTCTTCCTCCTTTGCTCAGAGAAAAACAATATTCCATTGTACAATTTAATTCAGAGAACAGGATTCTCTCAATGAATCAGGAAAGACAATGGCTGTCTTGATTTTGTTCTTAATCCAGTTATTTAAGTACAGATCCCAAGCAGTCATCTCACTACCACCACGAACAAAACTATGGGGGTTACACGATTACCTGCTCTGCACCTTGACTGAAATTATTATAGATTAAACAGGA